CAGATGTGCAGCACGGAGTACACTCGCCCCCTTTTCTCCCAACTAAAGTCTTTACTTATTCTCGCTTCCTTCTCTTCTCTCATTTCTTTTCCCTCTCTACCCCGCAAAAAAAAGATGAAGGAATCGTCTGTTTTCGATCTAACGTTATCTCCCTCGCCTCCTCCGGGGACCTGTGGTGGGCTCTGCGCCACATTGAGTTCCGGAGAGTGGCTCCAATTGGAAATGATCACGAGCAACTGGTTCTCATCATCCGGTTAGAGAACCGCCGGTATCCAGAGTTCCAAACAGGCCCATTTGGCCCATGTGTCGTGGCCCCGGTTGCCCTACAGCGCAACGCAGATGTGCTCCCGCCTCAAAAGCCGGCGCTGCCTCACCTCTGCGCGCGGTCCCCCGGTCCCCCCCCCCCTCCGGCTCGTGCAAATAAACAAGGACAGCGGAGGGATTTCTGAAGCTCGGGTATTACGGTTTAATGTTTCAGCGGCACCAGGTTTTGTCGAGCTGGGGAACGCTGACGGCGTGCTTTTGTTGGCCGGGATGTACTGTGTGTGTGTGTGTGTGTGTGTGTGTGTCTGTGTGTGTGTCTGTGTGTGTGCAGGCCAATGGAGTACTGGAGAGAATTCTCATGTGGACCACATGGCCAACAGAAAACAGATCATGCAGAAGCGTCGGCGTGATTATACAACACACACACACACACACACACACACACTGCGGGGTTTACCTGCCACATTGGCCACTCTCAGGGCCTCCTGGCTCTTGGCCCCTTTGGAGCGGTTGGGGTTTCGCTGCTTGCCCCCCCCCTGCGCCGAGCGGATGCTCCGCAGGTGCACCTCGGTGGCTTTGAAGAAGGCCACCATGAAGGGCTGTTTGTTCTGAGGGCCGCTGCGGCCGATCAGCCCCGCCATGCGCGGGTTGATGCTCTCTCCTGCAGGGGGAGACAGAGGGACGCGGTTCGACAGGTGTCGGCACGGTGACGTACCGAGGAGAATCGAGAATTCCCTCTAAATCAAATAAACGCGCGCCCACCTGACGTGTGTGTGTGTGTGTGTGTGTGTGTGTGTGTGTGTGTGTGTGTGGTCTTTACACTGGAACCACACTGATGTCTACCTTTCCACGAGGCTTCCCTCTGTGAATTCCTTTCCCGTTTTCTCATCCCTTCCAAGAAATGCCAAGAACCAATCAAAGCCTTGCTTGTGCTGGAGTGGGTGTGTTGTGTGTTGTGCGTTCGTGTTTGTGCACGTTCGTGCGCGTGCTCCCCAGCAGCGTCTGTCTGCTTCACGCGCAGAGGAGAAGTGTGCCCGGCGGCCGCTGTGAGGTAAATGAAGGCTTCTGGTCGCCGCCGGTGACGGGATGTCCCGAGTGCCTGTCTGTGCATGCTCACCCTTCATACAAACACACACACACACACACTCGAGGATACGGCCTCTCAAGCACTCCCCTCCCACTAAACAAAAGCAACTCAGTGTTTGTTTTCCCCACCTGACATGTAACATCCTGTCATATTCTCAGACACGCACCCCGGGCTGTGGGCTGATACAAGTTTTCCGCGCACAAACAGCCCAAGCCTTGTGATGACAAACTCTGGCTGAGATGTTATCCTCACAATAAGGCGCCGTGTTCTTTGAAAGCCTGCTGATGATGCTGAGGGCCGCAGACGAAGCAGGACGGGGATGAATGAGAGTTTGATTTATCTTCGCTGCTGGCTCTGCAAACCACACACTACGTTCCAGACTTTTGCAATGTTTGAGCTCATCAATCCAACTTTAATTAAATCCACTAGGTATTTACTCTGAGTGCATCGCAGGGTATAAACATAGGCTGCATAAAACAAGGAGGATGTAGTCGTTTTGACCCCACCCATTAGTTTGTGAAGTGCCCTTGTGAAGCCACGGTTTCCGCACTTAAGCCGCCGCCGTCTTGTATTTTCGCAAATCATGAACAGAAGGGACCATATTTGGACCGCACGAAAGACTGACTCCCCCCGTAGAGACGGCGTATACGCCTCTGGTAGCGGTCTGTCAATCACAAGCTAGCTAAACTGGACAATAGTTTACTAAATTAACATCGTGGTAAACTGAATACTTGACCCTGGTGATTGATAATGTCATGTCATGTCTGCAATGTTTGCTGAGATAATTCATTAAATGAAAAGCAGGGTAATTTTCTCAGAGACCCTTCCCTGCATTTCTAGCGCCCTCTGCTGTCACCCTCCAATGCGTCATATCACACAACTAACCACCCCGTCTTCATTTAATTGCCTCCTCATCACGTCAGCTTCATGTGTCTACCTTGGTTCCTCTGCCACGGCTCCTTAATACCTCCCATGTGCCGGGGGGGGGGGGATACGCGGGGGGGAGCGGCACTCACCCTTTGTGCTCTCCAGGGCGAGCTGCAGGCCCAGGTTCCTGCCGGGGTTCAGGACCCAGTGGTTACTGGTGGCCGTCACGTCGAACACCAGCCAGCCCTCCTCGGCCGCCCACATCACCCGAGAGTCCAGCAGGAACAAGTCGGACTCCCTGGAGAGGGAGACGGAAGATGAGTTCACTTCTAAAGTCAGAGACGGACGTGTACAATTCAAAAAATAAAAAGGCCACGTGATGAAGCTAAGTGACCACAGCGCAAAAGTAAGGGAGTGGAGAGAGGGAGTCAGAGGAGTGTGACGGGGTGAAACAAAGAGGGCGATGGAGAGGGAGGAGGGAGGGCTCCAGATGGTGAGGCCCGGGGGAACACTTCATTTTCGTAATTGACAATAATGGCTTTATAAACGACGGGTCCGTTCATACACTGTACACAGTCCATCATTGGCTGGAATTTGGCTGGAGAGCCAAAAAGCCAGAGAGAGAGAGAAAGAGAGACAGAGAGAGAGAGAATAACTGTGAAAAGTAGCAAGTGAAATAGTGCGTATCCAATTCAGTCCAATTGTCCGACTCTGGCTTTTCTACTCTTCTTCCATCGGAGACTAAAATCCCTTGTTCCTCATGTGACCATTCATGTATCCCGACCTATTTTCCGACCGGGCAGATAGTGTGTCACAGAGCTCTGGTTCATGTATCCAGGCCCGTCTCTGGCAGAGGGATAAATGCCCGTGTTGTTCCCTCTGGACAACAGAAACCTTTAGGAGGGGTTGACGAGGGCAGGACGTGGGCCACATCCTGGGTTACATACACCTTCAACCCAGCCCTGGTTACAGACACGTCAGGGTTGAGAAGGTTTCCATCTCCACTTAAGCTTGATTTAATTAATGATGAACATTTCAAGTGTTTAACAAAGGTATAGCTGTCAATAAATTATAAGAAAAATAACTAATTCAATGTTTACATTCTCTGATTTTTTTTCAAAACATTTTTCGTCCTAACGTATATTGACTTTTCTTTCAAAAAGACTTTCGAGCTAATATTTTGTGACTTTTTTTCCCATGATATTCTTCAACCTGTTTTGACTTTTATTGTTTTTCGACTTTTATCCCATACTTTTTAAACAAATTTCGACCTTTTTTTTCCATTTTTCAACACATTAAAACTTTTTTTTCAAAACCTTTATTCGACCTAATACTAAATTTGGTTTGAATCCATCCAAGTTCATTTCAGCCGCATCTCATGAAGGTATTTTTTAGAAACAACCACAAAAGAGACGTACATTTTGTTCTGTGATATTGAACTTGCACATGACTGACAACCAAACCCAAAAAGCCGTGCTCACCTGTCAGTGTGTTCCTCCAACACTTGGTAGACGCTGATGCGGAAGGTCTCATTGTCAATGCGTTCGTGGATGAAGTCTTTATATATGCGGAACTCTGCAGCAGTGACCACCTCGCCCTCCGGGATCCGTGACAGGTCGAATCTGAACTCTCTGTGATGTCGCCTCACCTGTAGGAATTCCTTATCGTGTTCCACTGCAAAAATAAAACAATTGAAAAAACGCGATGAGACGAATTGCAACAGAGAACGTGCTTCTTTCCACGTGAGCTTTTTGCATCCTCCTCTCCACCAGCAGAAAGTCCAACGAGTCCTACAACCACAGCTGTTAGCAAGGGGCTGACATTGCTTGTCAGACTTGTGGTCAGTCCCAGATTAAAAGCATCCACGGACGAGCAGTACACATGTTGGCTTATGATTGAAACATTCATGAGCACCCGAGCCACGATAGAGAGAGGCAGGCGGACTCTGACAGCTTTATGGGCCCCTTTCTTCTCGCTCTCTTCCTCTCGCAGCTCCAGAGAGTTTTCCAGTCGGCTCTTCATCTGCTTCTCATGAGTTGGGGGGAGGCGGGGGGGTGTTCCACGTGTTCGGTGCACCCCACGCCATCCCCTCCTCTCTCTCTCATCCCCCCCCCCCCCCCCTCCACCGCCGCCCCCTGGCAGCCGCTAAGACGTGGCCCCCCTGACCCTGCTCCTCTCATGTCCCAGCAGGACACCCCAGGGGTCAGCGCCTTGTCTCTCAACATCTCCTGGCTGTCCCTTCAACGCTCTCCTTATCGACCGTCAGACGGGCCGCACGCAAATATACAAACAGATTTATACACACAAACCCTTCTAAAAAAGAAACATGAAAACACTGCATCATCTTCCTGTTGGGGGCATTTGGAAACGGCCTTACTCTATTATTCATACAGGGACAAATCAGAAGTCACTACGAGGTACTTTACAATGAAACGATATGAGTAGAGTTGTCTTATACAGTTTTTGGGGTCGGAACAAGCAATCCAAAACCTTCACCCTATGGTCTTGGGGTAATGTGATTTCATTACTTGATATGTGTTTATATACCCAATGATTAATTATATGAAACAAGAAAAAAAAGGGTTTTAAATGCTCAAATCCTCACAATAAAAGGACGACATGCTGATTAAGGTCTAAAATAATGAAGGGCCATTATTTACCTTAGAATTGGTGAGGGTTACCTGATGATGTAGCTACATAAAAAGTTAAGGGATTGCCAAAGTTGTACTTTGTACGTTGGAGAAGCAGAATAGAAAAATCCACGATTGTTTTTACAATAGTTCTTCGCTGTTGAGAGTCTTCATTTGAACCAAAGGGGTGGACAGATTGACTGACGGAGCCGTCCCGGGTGACGGAGGACAGCCCTCTCCCTCCACCGACCATCCGTCGCCGCGTGATGAGTGTTTTATCGGAATCGACTGATCTGAACTTGGCGAGATCTTTGGCGAGCTTTCGTCACACTACTGCGCGCACACGCCACGATTCCACTGGATGTCCAATCACAGCAGCCCAGCTGTTACCGATGTAAGCGAGCTATGAGGTCAACGTTATGATCGCTTCTCTGTGCTTCCAGTGCCTGTTGTTTCTTTCACTGCACACCTGCCTCTTTGTCTCCCTCAGAGCTGCACCCTCCCCCCCTTCACTTTTCCCAGTGGACTCTCTCCCATTAAAGCCATTTGCGGAAGGACATTGTACAAAGGAAAGCACTAAGACATGATTGGCCAGAGCATGAGTAGAGAAAGGATCGGATTAATCTGCCTTTTCTCAGCTTTTGGTCTCAAGCTCTGTACACGTCTGCAAACAAAAACTAGCTTGACTTGCATCAATCTCTCTGTCCACGCTTGTACCAGATCTGTGGGACACTCAGTCAATCCTGGCTTTCATCAAGCCCTCCTGCTCAAAGTGTCGCCACGTGTGTTGACAACGCACACACATGTTGAATCTGACCTCACTCGGGACTCTACAACACTCGGTAGACAGAGATGGAGGCTGAGCTAATCCAGAGATTGGACCCAGGACCACGACCAAGCCTTCCATTGGCTGTGTTATGGACGAAATAAGATTTTTGGCAAGACCAGCAACAGGACGATGGTGACTGTCGAGCCCCTTTTCTTTTTACGGAGACCTGACTCCATCGTGGGCCCGGACCAAGTTGTGGGAAAGGAGGAGGTGGACGCTTGTTCACCTCATGATGCTCGGAGCTCAAACTGGTAAAGTTGATGGACATCGTAATGATGACGTCACATTCTGAACGTGTCGAGATGTTGGCGTCGGCCCTAAACATTTTTGGTTTTTGGTGCTGTTGTCTACATTCCTTCAGGTAAAATATTTAAAAAATGCACTACTTTTAAAAATGTTGTTTGTCATGTTTCCCTCATGTTGCAAACTGGCCACAACTGCGTGTTGCGGTGCATCCTTGTGCTGCATGATTACGATCACAAACGCTCTCGTCTGCTGCGTTTCCCTCCAGCACACCAGGGACGCCGCCCTCCTCCTGCGGCCGAGCGCAGGTGCACTGCCTCTGGGGAGAAAGCCAGACCTGCCGCCCCCCTTTATAGTAAAAAGCTCTTGATTCTTTGCTTGTGAGAACAGCTGTGGAGCAACTCCCACACCAACTATTTCTCTCTTTCCATTTCCATTCCTCATTGTGTGAATTTAATCTGCGGAGAGCGTTTAGCCTCGGCCACGATTTGGTCTCCCTCGCTCCTTTTCCCTCACAGGCCATTAAAGCAGCATGGCATTCATTAGACGAGAGGCACAGTCGAAGCCAAGCGGGTGCATTTATGACTTCCTCCGGGAGGAAGTGAGTAGCCGTCGCCCCACCTGTGTCGCCAACCACAAAAGATGGTGAACACGCCCTCTCGTGGCTCATGAGCGTGCACGCGCACGCACAACTATCACAAAGCGTTTCCTGTGAAGCGGGCGACCTTGTGCGTCACGGCACGGTAACTCAATCATTATGGGTTTCTGTGATCCGTAATTAGAGATGCAAGGACAAAGACATGCAAAGGAGACAGGCACGCCAACATGTGACACACACACACACACACACACCGGCAGTGAGTCGCTTTTGTCATTTAGTCGGATGCCTGATTTGCTTTTTGTACAAGCTGCTGACACAGTCGGCCCACATCATCGGAGTGATGTGGGCCCCCACGCATGTGCACGGCAGAACACATCAGAGAAGTCGGGACGCCGACGACCTCTCGCTCCCCTAAACCCACAGCGCACCTGGTGACCAGAGGATTGCGGCGGTGCGACCCCCCCTCCCTCCCCCTCCCTCCCCCGTCAGCATCTTTTATGAGTTATGCCTCCTCATCATGTATCGTGAACAATAAAGCCTTTACAAAGAAAAACCTGTATCTAGCCTTTGACCCAATAGGAAGAAATGTAGCGTGAGGAATTCATCAGTCTTCTCTCCCTCTCTCACCCCCCCCCCTCCTCTCTCCCCCTTCTGTCAGGCCGGCAGACCTAAGACACTTCTGCGACACCTCAAGCTCCGGAGCTGCAGCGGCCAAATGTGACGGCGCGCATTAGCCCAGTCGTCTGTTTGGCACCCTCACACCTCGCCGGCCCCCCTCCCCCCCTCGCACGCTTCCGCTGCTCTGCAGGAGGGGGGGATCTCACCCCTGGCACCGCTCTCACTGCCGACAGCTTCAGCCCCCTCCCCTCCCCTCCCCTCCCCTCAACCCACCTTCAGTTCTCTTGGGACAACTGTGCAGCCATTATCCGCACCTCATTCCGCGGCCCCGGAGAGCCGATTAAGTCAAGCGGCACACCTGATTCCCACACCGGGGGAAGTAGAGAGGCAGCGAGTCAAATCGGGGTCAGATCATTTCATATGGAAGTAAATGAAGTGGGCCGGAGCACTAAATAAAGTCATGCCGAATAGATTGAAGCCCCGTAATAATCTATCTTCCTTTCAACAAGTGTCGGGAACGAGTAAGTCATGGTTTCCATGAGCTGGATGGAGAGAAGGGAAAAGAAGAGAAAAAAAAACGGGAGTGCAAGGAAAGGGCAGAGTGCTCAAGATGTTTATCCTACAAAAAGCAGTGAGGCTTTTAAATCTCCTGCGTACCGGGTGACTACCCACAGTGGGGCGATTACCACGTTAGGAAACATCCTGCCCACCGGCGGCTGCCGATGACATCATGCCTGTGCGTTTGCGGCCTGACACCGTTGGCTCCCTGGGAAAGGGTCAGCAGAGTTTCATGCTATAACTTACTGACACTTAACGATCATTAACTCACGCCAATTGTGAGTGTGTGTGTGTGTGTGTGTGTGTGCACATGCCTTGGAGCATTAACCAGAGGAGGAAAAGTCTTGTGGCTAAACAAAGGTTTTCTAGCCCGAGGGGCTACTGAGAGGTCTGAGGTTACACTGTGAGCAGCTCCGTTGACCTCGTTCTCCCTCCATCTCACAGCGGCCGTCGAACATGTCGGCCCTCTGCGCCCGTAAAGTGTAGCGCCGGGTTCCACATCATGCTTCGCTGGGCACCGCGGCTTCATACTGGCTACGCGCCGGCCCTGGAACTCGCAGGAATGTGTCCGACGGCGATGCCTCTACCTCGGCAGCCGCGCTAAAAGGTCGGTGCGTCACAGTTACAAATTCCCCCGTCAGACGGGGAGGAACAGCGAGCCTCTCTCAAGATGTGACAAAATCCACCCATCCGTACAGAAGAGCGTGAAAACAACACTGTTTCCTGTCTGGTGGAGACGCCGATAAGTGAAACCCCCATAACACAACTCAATTTTTTCTTTTTTAACTAATTTATACACTTCGCTTTTTGTACAAATTAAAACAAATTAAACATATTAATTAGGGAACTTTAGAATATATTGGAAGCAAACTTTGTTTCCTGTCCAACCAGGTTAGGTGTCTTCACTCTGATGCCTTTAGATCGTTGATACCTTTAGTTTTATTTACTCTTAATGTAAGGCTTACATTAAGAGTAAATGAGTAAGTAAAGGCTGAAGCCCGTTGATGATTGAAGGTCCTGCAGGACAAACTGACCCATCTCTAAAATTGACGTGTGTGTGTGTGTGTGTGTGTAAAAAGCGCCTTCCAAATCTCCGGCGGCCATTGTTCTGAGCGCGTGGAGACGGGGCGCGGAGGAGCAGTGAGGGATCTCTATCGCCACGGTAACCGTCTGCGCCTCCTCTCGACTGCAGGAT